TTGGGCCCTTTCAACTCTTTTATATGAGATTTTTTAGCACCTCCCCACGCTCTTATGCAATATGATATTACGGATTGGGCCATGGCATGGTAGACTGATTTTAGAAGTTCAATGTCAGCAACATGCCGCAACGTTTTGAAAATATAAATTAGTTTACGATTTTTTTCTGATATCATTTTCATTTGTGGTATCCACGTTAAGGTTTGATCCAAAGGTACTTTATTGTGGTGTACGTTCTAATAATACACACTGACATGGTGTTATATGTGGATGAAGTTTATTGCAAGTATGGGCTTGAATGTGTATTTTACTAGGAATGTTATTTTGTGCTATACCAAAAGTAATGAACTTAGTTTTTGACGCGTTTAGTGTCAGTATGTTTTTCTGAAGCCATTGCGTTGCCTGTTGCAATCCTATTTCTGCCTTTATTCTAGTTTCGTCCCAAGTTTTACCATGAAAAACTAGCACTGTATCATCGGCAAATGTAAAGGTCTTACAATTATTCAAATTAAGATTACATAATTCATTTATATACATTAAGAAGAGACTAGGGCCGAGCACGCTGCCTTGTGGCACGCCATAAGTGATGGGAGAATCTAGACTAGTCAGGTCTCCAACCTTTACCATTTGCCTTCTGTGAGAAATATAACTTTCAAACAGGCTTAATGGTTTCCCGCATATACCAATTTTATGCATTTTGTCTAGAAATATAGGAGTAGAGACCGTATCAAATGCTTTCGCAATATCTAAGAATACACCTAAACATATGTTTTTCTTATCAATTTGCTGAGCAATATAATCTGTTAACCCAGTAACTGCATCAGAAGTACACTTGCCAGCTCTAAAACCATATTGATTGCTTGATAGAAAACATATCAATCTTTTATTTATTACCTTTTCTATAACTTTTGATAGGGCTGGCAATACCGAGATTGGGCGATAATTGTTGATCCAGTTTCTTTGTCCAGATTTATGAATAGGATAGATAATAGATATTTTAAATATTTGTGGAAATACTCCTGAGGTTATACATAGGTTAACAATATGTGTCAAGACGTGTACTATATGATTGTTAAAAATTTTTAAAAGTTTATTGTATACTCCGTCCCAACCAGTAGCGCTGTCATTTTTAAGCCCTATAATAATGGCTTTAATTTCTTCACTAGTAGCTTCAAGCATGGTCATGGAATTTAGAGGAGAGGGTACATTCAAGTTAGACGTGGTTCTTTGGTCATCTGTATGATCATCAACTAATTTATTTGCTTGGTTTTTCCCAATATTAGCGAAAAAGTTGTTAATATGCTCAACAGAACTTTGAGGGGTGTCACAAATACGCAGTAGGTCTTTGAGTATAGTCTCCTGTTTATTTATATGAACAATACTTTTAATGGTATCCCAGGTCTTTTTAGGATTATTAGAATAATTTTTCAGCTCATTTTGTTCATAAGTTCTTTTTAATCTCTTAAGCAGATCGTTGCAATAATTTTTGTACCTTTTATATATCGTTTGCATAATCTCATTTTTGGGCTCTGCTTTACATTTACAGTGCATCCTGTCTCGGTTTCTGATGCAACGTAGCAGCCCTGGTGTGATCCAGGGCTTAAGACAACGAAATCTACGGGGTACTAAGATTCTAGTTGAATGGCTAGCTAGGTAATTTGAAAGAATATTTACGAGTCTCTCAGCAGCCCAATTTGCATCCATGGACATAAAAATTTCATCAAAACTGGTTGCATCCAAATCTTTGAGAATCCCTTCGTAGTTGACTTTATTCACTACAAAGTCCCTTTTTTGGTAGTTTTTAGATGTTAAATCCAAACATGAGATGACTGCTGTATGATCTGTGAGCGGTGTATTTAAAACCAAAGTAGTTACTGATCTTTTAGTACTGGCCATAGAATGGTCCAGGCAGTTTGCTTCTCTAGTTGGGTAAGTATGACCAATGAGAAATCCATGGCTAGCAAGTAAGTTTAAATAATCATGAGAATTTTGATCCTCATTGTTAGGCTTTATATCTATATTTATATCCCCCGTTATAATTATATTTTTATAAGACTTGTGTAAGGACAAGAGCTTATCCAATGATTCGATAAATGGAGCAATATTTCTATAAGATGGAGATCCATATAGGGCAATTATGAATGTATCAACATTCATTTTTATTATTAGACAACTAGCACCATCGCAGCCTGGTTCCTCAACAGTACAAGTAAATCCATCTTTAGTATATACAACTAATCCATCATTTTGGTTTATATTATTTTTAGTATAAAACGAGTCGTAGTTTGGGATCGTTGGAAAATAGGAAGTAATTGTATTCCAAGATTCCGTTAATATATATATTTCACAATTTAAATTAATCCTGGCAAGTAAAACTTTAAATTCATTAAAGTTGCGATTTATACTTCTATTATTTTGGGTCAATACTTTAAAGGTTTGGTAACTAGAGGTAGAAGTTAATATTGGTTTGCAAGACTCTGGGTCACATAAATAAGATTTCCCGGCTATAATATTATCCATGTCGTTTGTTATGTACAAATTATTTATCCCTTCGAATTTTATTATTTATTTGCAAAGACACAAATATCGGCAGTTTGGTGGAAATCAGTGAGTTAACTTTATTAGACTTTCTAGTATTTAAGTTATTTTTAGACGATAAATTAGCTGAGTTTACAAACATTACTATAAATATGTTATTATAATATTTTCTGATTAAGTATGAACTAAAACTTAAACTAAGGAGCATGCAAGTATGTAAAAAAATATAAGTAAAGATAAAATATAACAAAATTGAAAGTATGTGTAGCAGAATAATATTAATAATTGTCATTCCGTGTTTTAAAGTTTTACCAGATCAGCTTCACACTTTATTTTAATGTGCGGCTATTCGTCGGTTTTGCAGAGATAAACTTTCCCATTGCTGGCCCAACAATATTTGACTTTGGCAGTTGAAGCAAAATCCCGCACCAGGTACAGCAGTCTGCGACCTTTATGTGTAAGACCTTCGGATAAATATAAAGGTGCAGATGGTCCACTTAGACCTATAAGAGTTGAATTAAGCCTTTCATTTGGGTATGTTTTGTTATACAGCTTAGCATTTTTAATTACTTCCTGTTTGGTTTTTGTTCGCAAGAAATCCACTACAAGGGTAAATGTTCCCGATTTTCACTTAATGTGGAAAACGTCCTTAACATCACTCGGTTGGAAATCAGCAGCTAGGACCTTACAGGTATTTTGTATTATATTAGTAAGTTCTAACTTGTTATCATTTTTAGTAGAAGATAGTACGTTCCTAATTTCTACAGTAGTTGATTTCAGCAATCTTTGCATGTCCTCGACTTTTGCTTCAAGTGAAGAGATATACAATAACTGTTCTTTGCGTTCTCGTTCTAGAGTTTCCACTCTTATCGACAAACCTCAAACTGGTCGGATAGAAACTGTAGAGACTTTTCAACTCATTTCTTTGATCATAGATTTCAATTCTTCTTTGAATTTCGAAAATAAATCTTCGCAACATGGCTCTCTTTGTCTTTTAGTTCGTTGGGTTACATATGGTTTGTGCTCATGCCCAACCAAGGAGACGTCAAAATCAGACACTGTGTGTGGTATTAGTCCACTTGATGGAGGGCTTCTTGTTAGTCGGCTCATTATGAAGAAGAATTTTTTTAGGTCCAAAGTTTAAGTGATGCAGCTTTCGACGTTATGTTGCACAATGACCGGTTTTACTCTGATATTTTCAACAGGCCGCAATCAACACTGCACTACTGCTCCCACACTTGCACAGCACTTTATCGTTTCTAAGCGCCTGGTACTCGTAGTAATTTAATATCGCGAATTAATATTTCGGAAATTTATTTTTACAACGTAAAATGTGTGTTTAACAGTGATAGAGCCACGCGGCAGCTTTTGCTGTCGCACGGATGGGCCGGCTCGAACCGGGGTAGTACCACGACCTCACAGAAAACCAGCGTGAAGTAGAGGTTTACCTCTGCGTTTCGCTTGGTGAGTGCAGGTGGCCGGAGCCCCTTTTTACTGGAAATGAGGCATTCCATCTTAGTCCTCACGGGTGACAACGCATCTACATTTTGATTTGTAACAGAGGATAGATGTAGATGTCTATGGGCCGCAGCAACCACTTACCATCAGGTGGACTGTGTGCTCGTTTGTCACCCTTATCCTATAAAAAAAAAGTCACATTCGACATCAGGACGGAAGGTCCAAAGGCAAATATAGAATAGAGATACAATAATCTAAAAACTATATACGTATTAAGCTAACATCGAACAACCACAGGAAGCATGACTTTTTCGAAGTGACATAAAACATAACGTAAAAAGGTTCAAATCTAAATACCTTTCTTTGACGCCTTTTCAGGACAAAATTCTTTGACAGAGTTATTAAGGGACTGACATTTTAAGATATTTTTGATATATAGACGCTACCATTCGTTCACAATTAATTTTATGTATGAAAGTCTGCCATTGTTCATTAATACCATTAGCAAGGTGTTATAGTTAAGTGTTTTATTTTGCATCCTACAATCGTGAGTATTTGAGTGGTACTCCTCAACAGCATTTAATCTTTTATTTTTTATAAGTGGTAGAGCCATGCTGCAGCTATATTAGTAGTATAGTTGTAGCACGAATAGGTCGGCTCGAACGGGGAAGGACCACGCTCTCACAGAACACCAGCGTAAAGCAGCAGCTTAACGCTGCTGTGTTTCGTATGGTGAATGTAGAGAACCGGAGACCCTTTTTACTGGAAAAGAGGCATTCCACTTAGTCCTCACGGGTGACAACGCATCTGCATCTTGAGTCTTTATTGAGGATAGATGTAGATGTCTATGGGTCACAGTAACTACTTACCATCAGGTGGACTGTGTGCTCATTTGTCACCCTATCCTATAAAAAAAAATCTTGCATTGTACAGCATTACATATTTGCATAATTACCCACACATTAACGAAAACTATTTACTCATTGTTGGATTTTGCTCCTTACCTGATAATTGAGTTTACCCGTGTGGATGTTGTTGTGCCTTTGCAAGGCTCCCTTAGATGGGAACAGTTTATTGCACTCTTCACATTTCCAATCACTTATACCTGTTGTAAACATAAATATTTATTTACTTTCTTCTCATAGCAACTACTAGTTATAGAAAGTTAATTATACCAATTAGATATGAACAGTCTGTAATTGTTACACACATCACATTTGAAAGCTTGTGAGATAAATTTAATCATGCGAGTTATTTATACATAATTAAATATTTGTAAGCCATTACTTTACGCTAATAGGCAATTTTTTTTATAGGAGAGGAGGCAAACGAGCATGCGGTTCACCTGATGGTAAGAGACTACCGCCGCCCATGAACAACCGCAACACCAGGGGAATTGCAGATGCGTTGTCGGCCTTTTAAAAAGGAGTAGGCTCTTTTCTTGAAGGTTCCTAAGTAGTATCGGTCCGGAAAAATCGCTGATGGTAATCGATTCCACAAGGAAGTCGTGCGAGAAAGAAAACATCTTCTAAATCGCACAGTGGTGGACCGCCAATCATCCAGATGGTGTGGATGGTATCGGGAGTTCCGCCGCGATGTGCGTTCGTGAAATTTGGCGGCTGGGATTAATCCGAACAATTCCTCAGAGCACTCCCCGTGGTAAATGCGAAAGAAAATGCAAAGGGATGCAACATTTCTTCGCAGTGCCAATGAATCGAGCCGATCGGAAAGGACTCGGTCGTCGACGATTCGAGCCGCTTTGCGCTGGATGCGGTCAAGTGGAAGGAGCTGGCACTGGGGAGCCACTGCCCAGAGATGGGAACAGTATTCCATGTGAGGCCGAACCTGCGCCTTGTAAAGTTGCAAGCGGTGTGCCGGGATGAAATACTGTCCTGCTCTGCTTAGCACACCAAGCTTTTTAGAGGACAATTTGGCCTTCTCTTCCAAGTGACCACGAAACTGCACGTCACTCGATATGTCGACTCCGAGGATTCCGATACTGGCTGAGGCAAGAAGGGGACTGCCTTGAAACTGAGGAGATATGACAACGGGGTTCTTTTTAGCGGTAAACGCGCAAACTTGTGTCTTCTGAGGATTAAACTGGACTAAAATTAGTCGCCCCCAATCCGAGACTTTGTTCAGCAAAGACTCGACTTCAGACACAAGTTTGTTCCGGTACTCAGCGACGTTTTCCTGAGAAATATTGGCACGGCCGGTGTATAAAGCATCACCAGTGCTGTCATCCGCATAGCAATGAATGTTACCAGTTAGCAACATATCATTGATATGCAGAAGAAACAGCGTTGGTGATAGCAGACAGCCTTGTGGAACACCATCGTTAATAGGCTTGTAGTCGGAGCATGCACCGTCTACAACGACCTTGATGCTCCGATCTGCAAGGAAGCTGGTGATCAAATTGCACAATTTCTCGGGAAGCCCATAGAAAAGGAGCTTCGAAACAAGCGCTTTGTGCCAAACCCGACCGAAGGCCTTCGTAATGTCCAAACTAACGGCCAACGCCTCCCCCTTGGACTCTACTGCCTCCGCTCATCTATGGGTCAGGTAGACCAGAAGATCGCCAGCTGATTAACCCCGACGAAAACCGTATTGGCAGTCACTAATCAGCTGGTGATCCTCAAGGTACCGCATGAGCTGGCAGTTAATAATGGATTCCATTATTTTGGAGAACAAGGAGGTGATCGCGATAGGCCTATAGTTGGACGGGTCTGAGCGGTCGCCTTTTTTAGGGATCGGGTGGACAAAAGCTGTCTTCCATGAATTCGGGACTACGCCTTGGGAGTAGGAGAACCGGAAAAGACGCGTTAGGACCGGTGCCAACTCCGGTGCATACGTCCTCAGCACAATTGGGGGGATTCCGTCAGGCCCACTCGACTTCTGGATGTCCGGGGAGAGGAGTGCTCTGCGAACCGAGCGCTGTGAGAACCGCACATCCGATGGAGCACTCACACCGCGGGATGGTCGGCGGTGTTTTTCCCCGTCATCAAGAGTTGAGTTGGATGCAAAAAGGGAGCCTAAAACGTCGGCTTTGTCTTTTGCGGCTTGGGCCAGTGAGTCGTCCTCCCTGTGCAGAGATGGTAGTGATGGCTTACAAAAATTCCCTTGGACAACCTTGGCGAGAGACCAGAATGCACGGGTTCCCGAAGGAAGGCGAACTAGTTTCTCGCCAATTCTGCCTATGTGCTCTGACTTTGCCTTGGCAATAACTCTTTTGAAGGACCTGGAGGCGAAGTTATACTTCTTTTTAAGTGTGCTGGTGTTTACATCCCGAGTCGCCGAAGGCGCGGCCCAGGCTTGATAACACTCCTGCTTACTGCGTAATGCAGTCTTACAGGAGCGACCAAACCAAGGCTGAGATCTATCTGCCTCCGATGGGTACCACAGATGAAGGAATAAATAGTTCTATTCCCTGTGCTTTTACTTTCATGTGTATGAACTGCCTGTGCTGAATAAATGTTTTTTCTATTCTATTCTATTCTATTCTGTAGCACCACATCAGTGACAGAGTCAGCAACAGCGCTGGGATTATCCGGCGAGAAGCAAACCCGCCCCCATGGGTAGGATGCAAAGAAAGACCGCATTCCGTCCCAATCCGCCGACCTGTAATGCCAAACACGGCAGCAACTTGCAGAACGCAACCGCGAGGGGAGCGTGAGTGGCACCACACTCCGGATCAGACAATGGTCCGAAGAGCCGAGAGGGGCATCGACGGAAACCTGATTTCCGTCCGGATGAAAGGTCAGCAGAAGGTCCAACAGGGAAGGTGTATGATCCTCCACATCTGGAATCCGCGTAGGCAAAGTAACCAATTGTGTCAGACCATATGCCAAGGCAAAGTCATAAACAGATCTCCCTGCATGATCGGTTAAACGTGAACGTGGGCGTTAAAATCGCCAAGGATCACGATCTCTACCTGTTGTTGCAAGGAATCTGTAGCCATTTGGACGTGGTCGATGAGTCGGTCTGTTTCGGCATTACCGCTATGGGACCTATAGAGGCACCCCTAGATGCGCGGATGGTCGTCGCTGTCTACGCGTAGCCAAAGGATGGACAGGTCTAAACCTTCAAGACTGCCGAGGCGTCGAGAACAGATGTCCTCTCTGACATATACGCAAACTCCAGCCCGAGGCACAAAGGAGTGCTCCAATTTGTACCCCGGGCAGGAGAGGTACGAAGTATCAGCTGGAGAGGACACCTGCGTCTCGGTCAGAAAGAGCAAGGCCGGCTTCGTTTAGGTTCGAGTGAATTCCCCTGATGTTGCAGAAATTCACGGATAGCGTGGCAGGGGTCAAATTGGTATCGTTGCTCAGTTTGCCCCGAGCAGTAATGTTTTTGAGCGGAATTTGAACTTAAAAAAATATTTATGTAATTTTTAAATATTTTTTCACCTTCTTTCAATCATCATCATTCAACATCATTACAGCCCTTCACAAGTCCATTGAAGCTACATTCTTCAACAGACTTGACAGCATACAGGCATCTGAACAGACAGATCTCCAAATGCATGCGGCGGGACTTACGCAACTTCAATACAGCTCGTATTGAAGAAGCGATCGAGCGGAACCAAGGCTCCAAAGTCTTTGCCAGAGTTCTGTCTGCCAGAAAGAGCCACCTGTCAAAGCTGAAGACAGAATGTGGCAGCATCGTTTCCGGGACACCTGAGATTTTGAGTGAGATTGAGAGGTTCTATGGGCAGCTGTACACGTCATCGTTGGAGCCACACGCAAGTGTGAGTAACGATCCAAGAGCGAGTCTCATCCGACACTATTTCGAAGATATCCCGGACGTCAGTCTGAGCGAGATTAGAATGGCTCTCCAGCACCTTAAAAACGGTAAGGCCCCAGGCGAGGATGGAATTACAGCGGAGCTTCTGAAAGCGGGTGGAAGACCGGTACTTGAAGTCCTTCAGAAGCTCTTTAATTCCGTCCTCCATGGTGGCATTACTCCGGAGGCGTGGAGCAGAAGTGCGGTGGTCTTGTTCTTCAAGAAAGGTGACAACGCTCTCTTGAAGAACTACAGACCGATTTCCCTTCTGAGCCGCGTCTACGTGCTGTTTTCGAATCATTACGAATCGTCTCGCGCGCAGACTTGACGACTTCCAGCCTCCCGAACAAGCCGGTTTCCGAAAGGGATTTAGCACCATAGACCACATACATACCCTTCGGCAAATTGTACAGAAGTCCGAAGAGTACAATTTGCCACTATGTCTGGCGTATGTGGACTATGAGAAAGCCTTTGATTCCGTCGAAATTTGGGCGGTGCTGCAGTCCCTTCAGCGGTGCCAAGTTGACTGTCGGTATATCGAAGTGTTGAAGTGCTTGTACAGTAGGGCTACGATGGCTATCCGAGTACAGAACCAGAGTACGAAACCTATCCAATTGCAGAGAGGTGTAAGACAGGGTGACGTCATATCCCCGAAACTCTTCACCGCTGCATTGGAAGACGTTTTCAAGCTTCTGGACTGGAAAGGATACGGTATCAACATCAATGGCGAGTACATCACTCACCTTCGATTTGCCGACGATATAGTCCTTATGGCAAAATCGCTGGAGGACCTAAGCACTATGCTCAATGACCTCGATAGTGTCTCCCAACAGATAGGTCTTAAGATGAACAATGACAAAACAAACCGGTAGTTGTTGGGAGCACTAAGCTTGAAGTTGTTGACGAGTATGTTTATCTGGGACAAATAATCCGACTAGGTATGTCCAACTTTGACCGAGAGGTCAATCGACGGATTCAACTCGGCTGGGCAGCGTTCGGGAAGCTACGACACATCTTCTCGTCAGACATACCTCAAAACCTGAAAACGAAATTGTACAACCAGTGCGTGTTGCCAGTGATGACTTATGGAACTGAGACGTGGTCCTTCACTGCTGGCCGTATGAGGAAGCTCAAGGTCGCTCAGCGAGCTATGGAGAGGGCTATGCTCGGAGTTTCTCTGCGTGATAAACTTAGGAATGAGGATATCCGCAGTAGAACCAGAGTAACCGACATAGCCCAACGGATTAGTAAGCTGAAGTGGCAGTGGGCCGGCCATATATTTAAAACTATTTTAAGCCTGTGCTTGACTACTACTACTCAACGAACACTGCAGAACATTTAATAAAAGTAATATATTTAATTGTGAGTTCCTTATTCAGGTGTGAAGTACCTTTATGTAAGGCGACATGTATGTCACACGCGCGTTTGTGTTTGTAGTGGGCACCGCACACCTCGCAGATGTACGGCGGTTTAGAGTCGTCATGCTTTTGCTTGTGCTGCTCCAATCGCACTGGCGAGCAAATAATTTATACACATAATATAAGTCTATTATTATTTATTTAATTTTTTCAGTGTAAACATACCAAGGTAAGGATAAATTTGACATGGTTTTTTATATAATATACATTTTATCAACTTTAAACAATAACAACACAAAACAAATAACTGATTGAGGAATAAGTTTACTCCATAGCCTGAGATTATATTGAATTTCCATATCCTTTGGACTGGAACACCACATAGTGATGGTGTAAGAATATCCACTACCCCATATCATCACGTGGATGTCGTAAGAGGCGACAGCGGGAAATAAATCAGGAGTTGGGCAGCAGTCTTTCTAATAACGACAGAAATTAAATTTACTGTTGCCAACCCCTTGCCAAGCGTGGCAACTATCCCCCCTATGAGGCAGTCTATGGGGGAGGCCAATGTTCAGCAGCAGATTTTAATAGGCTGTAACGGTAAAAGTCAGACTGGAACCAATTCGTGAATGTACTACTTCTTGGCTGTTGAAGAAGTTGGTTTCAACCCTGATGAAGAGCTAGGCAGCAAGAGTCGTAAAATCAATCATAATACCAAAAGTATTCTGCCGAAATCAAATCAAATATGTAGAGCCATGCTACAGCTACAGTATGGTTGCAGCACGAATGAGTCAACTCGACTGGAATTGGACCACGGTCTCAGATACCAGTGTAAAATAGCAGCTTCATGCTGCTGTGTTTTGTATGTTGAGTGTAGAGAATCGGAGACCTTTTTTACTGGAAACGAGGCATTCCATCTTAGTCCTCAGGGGTGCAAACGCATCTGTATTTTGATTCTTAATTAAGGATAAATGTAGATGTCTATGGGCCACAGCATCCACTTACCATCAGGTGGACTGTGTACTCATTTGTACCTTATACTATATTTAAAAAAAACATGTAAATCCCCCACAAATTGCCTCATATATCATTGGAGATGCTGCTGCCCATCTCTTGTTTGACTTCCCTCTGTTATCCCATACAACACCCACATGAAGATTTATATATATATATGGGAATATTTTAGTAACAGGTACTCTTACAAAACCACTAAACAGCATTATTGTCTAATATTAATTATATTTATAGTACAAAAATAAATATTTTAACTTGTTAAAACATGAAAAAGGATATACACACAGTAGAAGGTCAAAAATGTTAAGGTGAAGATGATTGCATCACATTTTCCCACACATGAACACATGACAGTGTAAGAATGTAATTGGTTACCCTTACTTGTATAAATAACATCTTAACTAATGAAACTTCAGCTTAGTAGTGGCAGGAATCCACTGCCCCATATCCACAAAAATCGATGTAGATGTCTATGGGCCACAGCAACCACTTACCATCAGGTTGACTGTGTGCTCGTTTGTCACCCTTATCCTATAAAAAAAAAATATCATCTTGGGGGTGTCATAAATCTTGTCGTAATCTTAGTTCAAATGCTAATCTATGGCTCAGCAAGATTGCTGGACTGCCAGCCAGACTAGTCCAACAACCTATCTTGTTTTTTGTAAAGATTGTTAACATATTTGTTTTATTTATACATGTGCGTAGTTGCAACATGTGCAAATAGTTAATTGTGATGTGTGAATCAATCACAAAAAAGGACAAAAATCAATGCTATTTGCACACGGTGGTCATGTTGCTCTCCAGTATGGAATAAATACAACCCCAATTTTATATTTACTAAAATTTATCAATGCTTATTATCAATAACACAAGTCGATTAACTTACCGAGGGATGTGTATTTTGCATCACACTGATCGCACTGATGCAACACTTTGTCCTCTCTTTTCCTTCTTTTTTTCGGCCCTGTAGTTTTTATACTTAATTTTGATTTGCTGCCTCTGTTTTGTTTGCCGTTATGAAGTTCTTCAGGCACAAAGTTGGGGCTGTCATCGTCATCATCAAATTCCTCAATAGACAATTTAAAATCTGCCTCTATTGTAACACTGGTTTGCTGAAAACTGTAAAACAAAGTTTATTAACACCTTTTATGATATTGTTTTTATAATTTAATGACAACTCTGTGAAGATAATATAAAACTCCCCATGAGACCATGCCCCTATTAATGTCATAAGAAAATGGAAAATAAATTAATAATCTGACAAATCCATGAAAAAATTTAATTTAATGTGTGATATGCAAAATATATTAAAATATATATGTAAAGTATATTTTACCATTACCTACTAAATTCTCAATGTTTTATTAATATTTATGATTTCTCAGAATATAATTAGACAGTATTTTTTCATTAGAACAGATTCTAAAAATATTTGATCTTTTCATGAGTGTATTAAAATGGCTTAAAAACCTCACATAATTAAAGGACAGCCCCTAACATATATCTTATTTACAATACATACATAGTTAAAATGGAGTGTTTTTATTTCTTATTATTTTAAGAGAAAAATGGTCATACCCTACCAATGTCGAGGTTGAGAAATACAAGAGGATATTATTAGCAAGTTTTTGTGCAAGTGTGGTCTAGATAAGGGTACTCTAGAGCATCTATTCTTTGAGTGCAGCCATTTGACAGTCCTTTTATATGATATATTACCATATAATTATGTAATTAATTATCATTTTTATTTTGTTTTTATTCTATATTGCTACACCTACTTCAAATTCTCACCACTCCATGGGTTGACTGGTAGAGAATGCCTCAAGGCATTAAGTCCGCCCTTTGTATTCTTTTAGATTAAGGAATGCAATAAAGAATATATAAATAAATCAATTACCTTCTTAGGCCGCTTCTGTACTACTCTTAAAAAAATAAAAAATAAAAATACTTATGCTCTTTTGTATTATCCATAATTTTACCATCAAAGTTATTAATTTTGACATTCTGTACCAAGTTTATCAGTACTACCATTTGTTCTTAAAAATGTAGTTTGCTATTTTGACTAAATTATGGTATTTTAAGATATTTTAACTTTTTAGTTGACTTCAAAAAAGGAGACATTGAGTCAACTTGTTTAAATTCTAATTGACTATATCTTTTATTTATGTTTGTTGTGCAATTACTTTTGGTGCACAAGTGTGTGTATTTCCAATTGATTTGCCATAGGTAATAAACTTGGCAGGTGTGTTGTCAATCAAGTATACAGTACTAAAATTAAAAATAAATGTTTCTGCCATCAACAAGTAGCAACAATATCATCCTGGTATTTGCCACTGTTGAATATGAATGAACCGTGAAGCAAGATGGGGTAATGAATGCTCTTTTAAGCGATAAATATGCACTCAGTCATGGAGGATTACAGTTGAGACCAGCCCAGCTCAATCAATTATATTGTAACCGCACTATGGAATGGCTACTTATCAATAACAAAATAAAAAGGAATACAAAAAATTGCATTACTCATCAGCTGCTTCCTCCTTCTTGACATCTTTTATCTCTGTATCAACTTTATTGGTGTTATGAGCAGCTAGTATGTGTGCCTCCAGTGCTTCTGTCCCTCCACTATCTTCCACAATACCACATATTTTACATTCCCAACTAAAAATGAAAATTTAAATAGATTACTCATCATTTGTTTACAATAATAATGGAACAATACTTTGTGAAATTTGGGTTTGGATTTTTTAAGAATTTAAACCTACCAATTGATAATCAGAGCTTTGTCCGTCAATCTACAGAGTGCACTGCATGATTTTGAAGGTGGCAATTTAAAAAATAAGTTGGTATGTTCCTTCTACAATGATATTAAATTAACACAAAACTTAAATTTACCATATTATTTGACATTTCCACTAACAATTCCATCCATTTATAATCATAATTTATAAAAACACATTGAAATCAATTTTTACAAATAATGTCATATTTCATTGAATTATTAACATATTTTGCACACATCAAATGCGAAGTGTAGATGTAGTGTTCAAGTGAACAGTGAATTGAGTTGATCGTAATTGTTTGATTGTCACCAAATCAAAAAATTACGATCAACTCAACTTAAATCACTTCAACCAGCTTTATATTGCACTTATATAATAAAGAAAGTGCACCAATAGCAATAGATTTTAATTAATACTTCTAATGTATAGTTATAAGATTATTTAATTTGATTATTAATAAAAAAGAGTTCATTGAAAATAATTTTACTTTGCCATCAGTTGGTCGGCCTGGATGTGAACAAAATATTTTTGAAAAACTGAACTTATTATTTTGATTTTTTATTACTTTAGATTATAATCCTTAGGAAGCCTTTTGAATTTCACTATTGTAAGCCATCCCGTTCATTAATTTTTTTTCATTATTTTTTTATTTGACAATTTTTTCGTTAACAAAATAAGAATCACCAGTAACAAACAGTGAAAAAAATTTCATGTTTTTTGAACATATTTTTTGTAGCTTTAAACAAAATATGTGTTTCGGTAATTTTCCCAAAAGAACACAGTTTCTAAGGATGATTCATAAGGGTATCAAATTCAAAAACATCCCAATTTCAAAAATGAAATGGCTAGTCGGATGGGTGCTGTTATCCGCTTAGGATTATATAATGAATGAAATAATTTTTTTTTAAACCCAAGATAATTTCATTCTGCAAAATTAAAAGCTGAAGGTATCCAGGGTTAACTTCATTATTTATAATTATTTCAAGAAAATTACATTCATTTTAATGCAATTTTATTGTCTATGCAATTTAATGTAACATTACCTATCTCTACTGCTCTTTTGGCGAGGCTTCCGTTTACTGTCAATACTTGATTTCTTTTTCCGCTTATCCACTTTGCGTACACGCTTGTTTTTAGTAAGTGCCAATGGTTCATCTTCAGAGTCATTATTATCACTTTTACAAAATTCGTTGTACACTTCAAACATTTCATTTTTCACTGTACAAGGTGTTGGAGTGGGTGCTCGAGATTCAAAGAATGGATTCTTACTTATAATAGTTTCGAAAGTCTCTTTTAACTTTTTATATTCTATCTCGGCACGTTCAAGTTCATTAACCAAGTCATAGCAAGCCTTACACACATATTTTGGAGAGTTCTCGCTGATAGGTAAATTAAAATGCGAAACTTTGCAAAGAACATCATGAATCGACATGCCTGATGCCAAAGTTTTTGTATTATGAATGTCATAGCAATCTGGACTGCGATCAACGCACACTAAACACTCGACAGGCTCTCGTTTAACCGCTACTTCTACTTCTTGCTTAATTTGATCATTAACTATCGTTTCTCCATCGTTTGCACCACTGCTGGAGTTCATTGCACTTGGTTCGGCCATATTAATCCACAATGCTTTCTTCTATCAGGCCGAAGTTTCAATTACTAAATATAACCTAGAGAGCTTTACATCATTACTTATAGTTAATTATTTAAGTTTCTTTCCTTAGTCGAGAAAGAAAAACAAAAAAGATGCGAGCAGGGTACAACAAATGACAAATTCAACAATTTGACGTTTCACCAATTCACCAAGCACAGATTATATAACAATGCAGATTACCTAAAGTTAAAAAGATGAATACTTGCTTGATGAGTGCTTATTCTTAGGCCACTTCCCATTAAATAATAATAAATAATGAAGTTAACCCTGGATACCATCAGCTTTTAATTTTGCAGAATGAAATTAACTTGGGTTCAAATTTTATTTCATTCATTGGATGAAAATGTTACAGCTTGTAATGCGACGCCACTAATTGCAGAGCAACCTACACGTGGATGCTGCCGTGGATATTTCAGTTGTGGTTGATTCAGACGATGATGAAATAGCCCCCCACAAACTAGTGCAAATGAGGAGCATATTGGATGAGGCTATGTTTGAAACGCGCATTACGCCTCTCAAAACTCGACCGCGACTTCCCCGCATGCCCTTAAGCAAGCGGAATCGGGCTGTCGTGAGGGCACTCAACCCAATGCTGGTGACCTATTTGGAAGGCAGCCGGGACCTTTGCGAGATGGACTCAATTCTTTTTGGCGCAGCGCTGGCCGTTTGCCGTATTATAGGCGCCAAACTTCCCACGGCTGGACGCGCTACTAGACAAAGCCATACCATTCCAGCCTGGAGAAAAAGAATTGGGGACCGTATCGCAAAAGCAAGAGCCCTCATTGACAGACTGACAAGCTCGAGATCGGGTAATAATAGACCGAGAATTGTGCGCACCGTAAGGATGGCGTTTGCTGGGACAAATATAACTTTGTCCCAGCCGGATATTACGCAAACACGTATATGGAGCGTATATAGGACATAAAGCAGAGAATCCCTGCTTGGGAAAAGCGGATTCAGCGATATACCAAGAGGTCGAGACGGTTCAACCAGAATTGTTTCTTCCCGAGTGATCAGAAGAGGCTATAAAAGTCATTGGAGCGGCCAATCGTACGTGAAACGGGCCCAGCACCGAATCAGGCCGACACTGTGGCATTCTGGCGCAGCTTGTGGTCAGAGCCGGACAGACAGACCGGACAGACGGAAGTTGTAGCGAGTCAGTGTGCAAATGTTACACCAATGAACCGGGGTTCATTGGCGTAACATTTGCAACATTGCAACATGACGGGTCATCATAATGCCGGATGACGTAGCTGAGGCGGTCCGTAGAGCCCCGAACTGGAAAAGTCCTGGACACGACGGACTGCATTACTACTGGCTGAAGGGGTTCGCGGTGTGTCACGATGTGCTCGCCCGACAGTTTCAAGAGGCTCTCGACCAAAAGTCACTCCCGAGCCTCTTCACTACTGGGATCACTCATTTGGTTCCTAAAGACCGGGATTCCACAGACCCGAGCAAATACCCATAACGTGTCTACCTATCATATACAAGACACTAACATCTATTTTGAGCGCGAGAATCATTCGTCACCTGAACTCAAATCAGAAACCAATCCTCATTGACGCCGTCATTGGCATTTAGCAAGGTGGTTAAACGCAACCGTCGGAACCTCTCCGCAAAAAGGCTTTCTACTCGGTGCCTCATACATGGCTGAAGAGGGTCCTCGAGCTGTTCAAGGTTGACTGTACATTTCGAGACTACCTCCAGTGGAGTACGATACTTTGCCATCTAGGCGAGCGGATGACGGATGAAGAGAACCACATAAGGATAAGAAAGGGTATCTTCCAGGGCGACTGTCTGAGTCCAATCTGGTTCTGCCTCTCTCTAAACCCTTTCAGTACCTTACTGGAGGGTTCCAGGAGAGGATTTAAACCTCGGAGAGGAGGTGCAAAAGTGACCCACATTTTCTATATAGATGATCTCAAGTTATTCGCCTCCAGTCGCTCCCATCTTATGGAATTGCTAAACATTACTTGTGATTTTAGCAATTTTATTAGAATGGAGCTGGGGACGGATATGTGTGCGGTCGAAAGGGGTAGGGTTGCTGACTCTAAGGTCATAAAATTATCTATGCCTATTAACATAAAGACCCTATCCGAGGCTGAAACATACCGATACCTGGGTATGTCACAGAACATAGGTATCATGATTAGGACATGTGCTTAATAGTTTTTTGTCGGGCGTTAATAAGACACACGCATATAACGGTTGGATCATGCCTGTTCTCATGTACACCTTGCATACTCAGGTCGACTCAGACCGAATTGAACGAGCTGGATAGAAAAGTCCGCACTATTATGACGTCCCACAGGATGCATCATCCAAGATCGTCAGTAATGATGCTGTACTTGCCGAAGAAACCTGGTGGGCGCGGCTTTTTAAGCGCTCTCACCATGCGCAATTGCAAAGTGTGCAGCCTCCGTAATTACTTCCTGACGAAATCGGATGACCCATTCTACAGGGACGTCATTTCGTGTGATAAAGGGCTAACCCCTCTATCCTTAGTCAACGAGCAATGGTAAGACCCAGCAGTTTTGGTTTTGGTGACCTCTTCGGGGAAACCGTGGGTTTTGCCTGTGCAATACAGGATCAGGTTATTAAGACCAAAAATTATCGGAAATACACCCTAAAGAATGGCGCCATCGACATCTGTGGAGCTTGTCGCCATCCCGGTGAGTCACTTAGGCATGTCATTTCCAGTTGTTCGGCGCTTTCTAACTCTGAGTATTTGCACAGACACAACCTAGTAACCAGAATTCTAAACCGGGAGCTCGCTCTGAAATACGGTCTCGTGGATCGGAAACTACCATATTATAAGTAGGTACTTGCCGGAAGCCTAAATCTGATATTATGCTGATGGACCGTGCACAGTCAAGGATATTTTTGGTCGACATTACCATTCCTTATCACGAGAACCTCGTGAAAGCCGAAACAGATAAGCTGACAAAATATCTGGACCTGGCTCATGAGCTGACCGACATGTGGGGTGGTCTGCCAGCCGAAATTATTCCTGTGGTCGTTTCTGCGAATGGGTTAATCCCAGTCAGCCTCTCGGGTCACCTGAGGCGGCTGGGACTCCGTGACGGACCGCTCCAAGCTCAAATGCAGAAGGCGGTGCTCCTCGATACCGCCCGCATCGTCCGCCGGTTTCTTTCCCTTTCTCCCTAACCCTCAGCCGTTTGGTCTCCCCTGCCGAGCTTCCATCTGGTTGGGTTTTTATATATTTATTGTTTACGCCCGAACGGTGGTTTCGGAATCGACGTCAGAGGGCGCGCGGCTCGGTGCCATACCGGTTTTGTAGTTCGGGCTAGCTTGGATGTGCCGAGCGCGCGCGAGTGCAAACGAGTCGTCTGCCAGCTGTGCTAACGTCAGCACGCTGTCAATTTTTGTTCGGGAACTCGGAATAATTAGGCGCGGCTAGTAAATATAGTGTCTAGGGTTTGTAACACGCATTCCTTGCTGGAGAGCTTCCCCGGGACTCACTGTGTCTGACTCAGAATCTGGATAAGTGCATTCATTCTGAACAACTAGATTTAGTGGCTTCTGTAAGTTAGTTAATAGTACGATAGAGTTAATGGACTGTCATCGTGACGAACGAAAAAAGTGACTGTGGATGGCGCCGCGGAAGATTACCTCAATTTGGAGCGGTGCTGACGTCCGGGCTGCTGCCGACGGCAAAGGTCTAATAAGGTCAATCACCACCAGTCACACCCAGATACACATCACCGCACCTTATTTCCCTTGCACCACACAACCACATGCGACCTGACCGAATCCTGAGGGAACAGTCGCCTTGGATATAGGTAAGTAAGGTCCGTCTAATATTCTCCGCGACGAATGGCAGTAGTATAGAACGCTCCCCATATAGTTTATTGTTATTAGAGATTTTCCACTTTGTCCTTAGGAGGCCCGACCTGCACCTGCTTGTAAGGTCTTCCTTCATGGGCCGGGAAGATCCTACTATTAGATAGGCAGCTGTAGGCCGTAACAAACTGGTAGCAGAGCGTGGTTCCGGGTTCGATTTCCCGGTCGATCCCGACCATAGTGTTTGATAAAAATTAAACAAGTCTGGTGGCAGGGATTGTTGGTTTGATTGGTTTAATTTTGTGTCTACAATCACGCCCGTCCGTAATATGTAAAAATATTTTTTTTGTACGTAATAATAAAATTATTTTCCTTTGTTGCTTGCTTATTTGGTTGGTGGGTAGATTGAAAAGCCGCGCCCATTTAGTGCGCAAGCGGGAGTTTTTCTAGAGGTATACGTCATGTAGGTAGATGGTTATTATCACGTAATCGGTTAATTATCGTTGTCGGTTAGTTGTAGTGGATTGCTTATCGAAGGGTCGATTTCCGAGCTAGGCATTTTTTGTTGATCGACCGTGATGTGTATCTTTAGTCGTATTGTAATTTGTATTTGAGCTAAAGAGTAGTAATTTGTATTTGCGCAATTTGAATTTAACTTGATTTGATCGCACAAGTATTTGTTATTTGTTAATTTGATTTGTGTCTTTTCTTTTGTACTAACCTGTATTTGGTTTGATAAGTAGTAATTCGTATTTGTGTAATTTCTATTCAACTCGATTTGATAGGAATTGCATTTGTTAACTGTTAATTTTTTGTTGTATTTGTTATTTGTTATCTTTGTAATTTGTGCTCGAGCTCGAGTTAGTAGTGATGTCATCGCCCAAGCTACTAATCCGTTGCCTGCGGACAGAGTTACGCTGGGCCACAAGCGCCCATGCTTTGATAGGTCGACCGGATATGGTCCATAACTTAATGAAGCGGTTCGAGCAGGTCGATGCTCGAAGGGCCGCAGTGGAGGAGGGTTACGCTGAGCTCGAGGATTCGGATGTCGAAAAGGGAGTCCTGGACTCCTGCTTCGCGGACTACGAGCAGTTCTTTTCGCTCACGGACGAGTTGATCGAGGCTGAAGGCAGGTATGCCGAGGAGGCGCGTGAAGC